TTCCACAGACATGGCACCAGTCACCCCTAAGTCTTTCACTTTTCCTAGTGTGGGAAAAGGAAAGGAAAGAGCAGTTCCTGGCCTCCTCCTGGGTGCAGGACACTGAACAAAGACCCTTGTGAGCATCAGCTCAGGAAACGGTCCCAATCCTGTAAGAGAATCACGATGCTGCTCCTCTGAGGAAGCCAGAGCTCTGAGAGGCCGAGTGGCTTACGGGCACACACATGCCAAGGCTGAAGCGCTGGTCCCGGAACTTCTGTGTGAGAGGACTTGGAGCCCTCATCTAACAGAGAAGGGCCAGGGACTTGTGCAAAAGCTGCACTTAGATGAGGAGGATGTGGAATCAGCGTGTGTGATAACGTGTAGTCTCTGAGGGGCTGTGATGGGGCTCCCTGGGCAGAGGTGGGAGAGAGCCCAGAACCTGCTAACACTTCCAGCACCACCTCCACCTAAAGACAGGCCCTCTGCGCCCCTCTCAATGCAGGGCCCAGAAACAAGGACATACCACCCAGCCCCTCCTCCAGGGAATCACATCAGGCTCCTGCAGCTAAGCTGACACACTCACAGAGAAGCCAACTGCTCCTCAAGCTCCACTTTTAAAAGTCCTGAGGAGCACACACCCGATCAGAAAGCCATGCCCTCCCTACTGAGTCCCCATCGTTCCACCTCCACCTGGCATTCACTCATCCCCCTCTACCCCTTTTCCTCCCCTTCAGCCTTCTTTCCCCACTAGCTGTCTGTCCTTCTGGAATCCCTTCAGAATTCAGGAACTCCATCTGGGCCGTGTTCCTCTACAGCTGTTCCTGCTGTTTGTATCTTCATCTCTGCCAATTGAGCCTGCTTTAAAGGCTCCTTTATGTTTATCCATTGGGATTTAAATGCTGGAAAGGATAATGGCTAGTATTTTGGCCCAACACACATCCTAGTCTACCCCCAATCCCATTTTATAGATATTAAACTTGCTTGAAATTGCACAATGGATTAGTGATGGAATCTCTCCAAAATTAACTCCTTGCCAGGCTGAGACATAAACAATTGCCTGCTATTCCCTGCATTTGCTGATACTTCCGCATTGTTGGCTTAAGAGACCCGGCCTGCCCTGACCTGTGGCTACCCAGGTTTCAACATGGCCAGTAGCCAGAGGGTAGACGGATTCACTCTCCTGAGATTTATCTTACTGGAACCTGGCTGTCACATAAACCTGTCTCTCTCCCATAAACAAAGGGAATCTTTATATAATGTGCCCTCAACCTATGAACTCCAAATGACATCTTTGCTCCCAGGCCCACCCAATCCCAGGTAAAAAGAAAGAGAGAATGGTAGAAAAATAGTCTATGTTCATTATTTTAACCAACAACAAAAACACCATCCTTTCTTCTTTTCTCTGGTTTGAAGAGGCAAAGGGAAGACTACTAACCGCCTAGGAGTCTAACTGATTAGTCTAACCGCCTAACCGATTTCCAAGTACTTTGAATTTTATTTCCCAGCACCTTCAAATTAATGCTAGTCTTGAAGTCAAGCAAAAAGAGAGAAAATCGTTGTGTCACTAATTTCCTCTGGGTTTTGGGTTCCAGGTTCTGAAAATACCTCCTACCAGATATTAAAATGATTTGTTTGTTTCTGTCTCCTGCTCTGAACTATGTCCTCCCACAGAACCAGGACCAAGGGGTCCCAGATGAGAGAGTGCTTGCCTTGACCCCTGCATCCCCAAGGCCCATGCTGGACAGACCTCCCCACAGACAGCCTGACCATCACTCCCACATTCTGACTTTGTCTCTTATCACCACCCCTACTCACTCATTTCACTCCAGCCTCACTGTCACCCTTGCCATTCCTTGAAAACACTGAACGCCCCTGCCTCAGGCCTTAGCATCTGCTATTCCCTCTGCCAAGTTCATTCTCCCTCCCCAAAGCATGGCTAGACCTCTCAGCTCATTCAGCTCCTGCTCAAAGGGGCTGCCCTGAACATCCTTTCTAAAAAGGCTCCTCCAAGCCAGGTGTGATGCACATGCCTGTAGTCCCAACTACTCAGGAGGCTGAGGAGGAAGGATAATTTGAGCCCAGGAGTTCAAGTTCAGCCTAGGCATCTCTAAAAAAACAACTTTCCTTATGTTAAATACTGTTATTGTCATTAAATTTAGCCTTTTGAATTCTGTGAAGGCAAAAGTGGAAACCTAATATATGCATGTATAAGTAAGAAAAATAAATTTTAAAAAATCAAAAAAAACCTTTTTATTAAAAAAAAAAAGTGCCACTCTTCTCCATTGCTCTCTGTCTCCTTCCCTTTTCTTCTCATGCTTATCATTACTTGGAATTACATTGTGTATGTATTTATTCATTGGTTCTGTCTCACAAGAGAATACAGAACACAAATGTTCTATCAGGTCTGTTAGGTCAGGGATTTTTGTCTCTTTTGTGTATTGCTATATTCCCAACAAGGTAGGTACATACCAGATATTCAGCAAATATTTGTTTCTTTGCTTAATTAATCAGTAAGGGAATAATCTCTCTGGATCCTTGTTACTCAGGTCATAGGTCTTAGAAGTATTTTCATTAATTTGCTTTAAAAATTAGAGAGGTAAAGAAGGCTCAGTGACATGGCCAAGTCCTTCCAAGATAGGCGTAAGCTGGAAAGCAGACCAGCTGCACAAAAAGATAGCTGACAGCATGCATGGCATTCATGGAGAGTATACCCCATCCCAAAGACACACACATACATACACACACACACTGCCCTATTTCTCTTACTGCAGTTAAAATCCAGAAAGGATTGGCAATATCAAAGGAGGAAAAAGAAGAGCACTGACAATTTTTTGTTACATTTACTCAGAGTATTAAAGAGGAAACTGCCTAAATTAATGTATATCTGATTAGTTAACACATATTCAGTTAAAGAATGATTCAGTTAAAAAATGATTCAGTTAAATTGATTAAAATATTCAGTTAAAAAATGATTCAGTTAAAAAAAAATGATTCAGTTAAAAAATGATGAGCGTGAGGAAGGTGTAAGATGAAGGAAAATGCTTGTGATCTGTGTAAAGTAAAATGGTCTTCTGATCACTTTTAGTTTATTGACCATCTAATGGGATTACATGAAAGTGATTATTGTGGTAAGGTCCTAAGGTCACAGGTTATTTATCTTTCACTTCCTCAAACTACCTGTAATATTTGTAGATCCCTCTTAAATCAACTGTTATAAGGCTCAGTTCTCAGGCTATGCCAGGGTACAGAGAGACATAGAGTCATAAAAATAGT